TTTCGGATGGATTCCTATCAAAATGGATTTTTTGTGGTTTCAAGGGATCTAGTTGAGACCAGAATAATGGAACTGAGCCCCTATAAACTGTAAAGAGAAAGCTACTATTGGCAATATCACTCGTACTACCCTTATTGGCAATAGTACTTTTAAAGATTGTCTTTACAAAAAATGATACATCTCCCCCTTCATTAACTCCCCTACTTAGCATTCTAGGCCCAATTTTGTTTGTTGAAATCATAGAACAAATTTCATAGTTGTACAAATAAATATTATACAGGCGTTGATTCTCGAAATAGCCACAAAACATATTTACCAATTCAAAATGTGGAGAATCCATAGGGTCATGAAATAAATTGAAGTTCAAAGGACTACCTGATGCCATAGTACTTTCACCATAACTATCTTTACTTTTACTTCTCATAAATGGACTTCTTGAATTGAGGGCCTCGTCCTTCACTAACATATCTGCTCTTCTAGAAGCACTGTTACTTCGTATTTCTTGAAAATTCTCCTTTAACTTTTGATTCCATGTGTAATATTCCTTCATCTCATCAAAGGTGTAGTAAAATATCCTCTCTTCTAACAAATTCTTTACAATATCAGCCTCTTCACATTTTGAAGGGCCAGTAAGAGAAATATAACTAACCTTCTTAATTCTAAAGATACTGCCATTATAGACATTCGTGGCAATATCACTACCATTATTACTATATCCAGCTATATCTGACTGGGTTACAAAAAATAGATAGTTATGAAACTTGCTATTTGGTAATTGTATTTTAAGTATTCCTAAAATTGCCTCCAAATTGTATGTGGTAATGACTTCACTTGATTTCATAGAATACCCAACTGGAGAAAGTGTAGCTACGCCATTTATAGTATCGTAGTGTACTCTACGTGACTGTCTATAGTAGTAGAGAGATTTACTCATGGGAAAAGGGCAACCAAAACAAAATAATAAATATGCTTAGTATATAGAGTTGTCACTTGGCTGCATATCATAATGTTCCAGACAAAATTTTATGGATTAAACAATCATAATATTAATCTAGATTTAATCATACAGCCCAAAATACCATAGTTAGTTATATTATACACAGGAAATATCCATTTAATTTCAATCTGTTAAATTGTAGGTATATTATGTGCTGTGGATGAGATAAAATATGGATCATGCTGATATTCCAAAGAGATTAATGTTCTGATTAGATCAAATAAGGTATTTCGCTTGATATTATGTATTATACTTTTAATTTTAGTGTTAGCTTTTATTTGCCATCAATTTTCTATATTTTCAATATTGTTTATACTTTTAAAACAGTGCCGTTTATAAATACAATTTGATTAAGTATACAAATGTATGAAAGCATCTATTTTATTATAGGCTTTATGGGAATTAACTGGTCAATACCTTTGAAGACACTGGGGCATAAGAACTGTCAGTATAGATCCCGCGAATACAATGGGTGTAATCATCATAGTGACGATATTGTGGAAGAAGAACATAACTCTCTTCAATATCCCAATGTGCTGATTTCAAGTACTGTCGAGTATCTTACAGACTATGGGAGAATTGATAAGAAAACATCAAATGACGAAAAAATAGATATAGTATATCTTGTAAGAAGTCCGGAGATAGATGAGGAGGGTAGATTTCTACAGAGCGAGATGAAAAGTCATGATATAACAGAGATGAAGAATGATACGCATTCAAAGACCACAGAGCTTATAAACACAACAAATATCAAAAATTCTGGGATTTTTGGAGTTGAGAAAAGTCTGGGCCATACAGATATTCCTGGTACATATATTGATAATAAAAACACACTAACCACCTTAATAAGCAACCAACTCACACCAATTCTAACTTCAATGCAGTTGAATGAAAGTTTTATTAAAAATATCGGCAGATCTACTACTGATAGTTTATCTAACCCTGAAAATCCAAAGTCAGTAGTTATTGGAGAAAATGAATTAATCAGAGAGAACAATTCCAATAATCAAAAGATTGGATCCAGCACTAGTAATTCAAAAAACGAGAACCAGTATACATCAACTTTTACAGAACACATAAACTTTAACACAGCCAATGAGATTAATAATCAATATAATGTAGAGAATGGTGCAAATGCTCGTTCAAATTTAACCCATAGAGTCTATACCATCTCTTTCCTACACTATATTTTCCTGAGATTTTTAAATGTTTTGGGATATACACAGGGTAAAGTACTATATGTGTATACAGAATTTGAATATATCCCCTTTCTGTTGCAAGTATTCTTCCATGTCCCACTAATCATCACTGCAATAATCATATTCATAGTGATTCTTACATTTGATCCGGAGATGAATCAGGATCTAATCAGAGAAGAAATAAATAAATTGCCTCAGAGCAAATATATGGCCAATATGGAGCATAAGGAGTGTGCTATATGTATTGATCAATTTATTGAAGATGATGACATTAGAGTATTGAGTTGTAGCCATGTATTCCACAGGAGCTGTATTGATATTTGGCTAATTAACTCACTCCACTGTCCTATCTGCCGAGGCTCAGTTTCCAAGTTGACAGAGACTTTTGGATATGAGATGTATACGGCAATGAACTATGTGTGAGATGAGTCGCTGGACTTAATAGACACTGATGCAAAAAGTACCTGTAAGGTATACCTAGTATAGCTTGATGGTAATGTTAATAATTTTGAAACAAATAAAAAATTCTTCTGATAAATGGTAAATCAAACAATATCCTCTATGCAAACCACCACATTATTTATTAATTTCGTGGTTTCAAAAAATAAATGGTTTCAAAATTTATTTATAAAAAATATTTTGAATAAGCAAATATGAATTTCATACTGTTATTCAGTTTATTATACGCCTTCTCCCGTAGTGCAAACAGAGCAAAGAAGACAATTATCATCACAAGGAGCGGCTGTCAATTCAGTGAAAACATGAGAGTGTTTTTACGATCCAAAAATATACCATTTTTAGACTTAAATGAGTCGATATTAGATGCTGATATCATGTCAATCACTTCGTTTCCAGGGCATACATATCCCTCTGTATTTGTGAACGGAAAACATATTGGAGGTTATGATGAGTCAAAAAACAACCCAATATTTTTAAGCAATGAACTGAGGGGTGAGCTCAAGAACAAACCGTACGAAAGTAGTCTTAATGATGAAAATCTGCTGAAAGAAACATTCTATGGCTTTTAATAAATCACCCAATTAAAATAGTTTAAAATTTACCATGTGATTTATAGATTCCTGGCTGTAATTTATCTTTATAGTATTTTCCAATATTCATCTGGTTGGCCTTCATTTAACAAAGAGTGAAATATTACCAATATAACACATACTAAATACTACTATCAACAAAGAGCTATTTATTATAAACCACCAAACACCATTACATTTGGAAAATTCATTCTATACTATATTCTTCCTTTCTAGCATAACTTTTCTAATATCTTCTCCTAAATCTTTCCATTCTTTAGGAACCCTATACTTTCTGTTCTTATAATCTCCTAGGAAACAAATTGATGCCAAGTGGTGTCCTTTTGTTCGCGACAACTCAGGATTTTTACAGATTTGGTAGAAATCGGCACAGTTTTCGAAATAAAAGTTTAAATTCCTTTTAAAACACTTAGAATCATATTTGACCCATATGTATTTGGCAAATCCTAGGGTGTAATACAGTTTGGCTGCAATTGGCATACATTCATCCATAGGACTCAGATGAAGAGAGAAAAACGCTTCATAAGGTCTGTGCTTTGTCAGATAATAATCTCTCACCATTCCCATTAGCTTACTACTCAATCCCCTACCCCTATATTTTTCCACAACGGATATACTAAATAATCCCAAATTAACAAATTTTTTATCTGGCCTAGAAAATAAATTAAATAATCGAGGCTGTGGTTGGAGGAATGTAGATGTGTTAACTGAGATATAAGCAGCTATCCTATTGCCGTCCAAAAGCATAAATGAGTCTGTATTCCATAGTTCTGAGATATCGAGGGATTGTGTGCTGTCAAACGTTTTCCTGATCTCTTTAATATTATCTACAATCTGAATGGAGGATTTTATTGCATATTCACTCTCTAAAAGTTTTACAAATCTCAGTGACAGACAGGAAAAAACAAAAAATATAAGAAATTGGTGCATTTTTAAGGGCTATTAAAAGATCTGAGAAGAGTATTCTTAATGAGAGGATTGGAATACAGCAGATGGATGCTTAGTAATGATATATTATCTGAAACTGTCATTACCACCCGTACAATAAACTATTTAATTCCAATTGATCAAGAAGTTTATATTTAATGGCTTTCTTTTGGCTTGATAAATTAATTCCAAATATTTTATTCAAGTGATATTAGTGTGGTCAATTTTTCACTTTTCAAAACATCAGGAATAAAAGTACGACCCAAGAATGCAACTGGGAAGGGATCATCTTTGGTCCAACCAATTGAATCTAAATAGTTTGCAGCACCCTCATCTTTTGTAACATCAACCTTATAGAATGCTGGGTGAATAATTGCCATTCCATCCTCCAGTTCTTGACAGGTTTTTTCACACGGTCCTTTAGTAACAATTACAAGTGCTCCGCTGTTAACCCTTTCAGAAAATTGTTTACTATCATTAATTATACCCAATATTCCCGGCACACACAGTAGGAAATTCATGATGAAAATACTGTCAGGAAAATATTTTATAATAATTTCTGTGTGTTTCACATCTGTTTCACATAATTAAAGGATTACAAAGGTATTGGCCACTTTAAATGAAACAAACATGATTCTCATACATCAATTTGAACATTTATCAAAGGGTTGGAAGACCTGAATCCCAAATAAATAATATGAAGTATAGATACCAGAAACATGATAGCATTTATAGGTTAAATATGGTATCTGTTACTGCTTCAGCAATATTTTATATCAGACTCAACAGTTTCCAAATAAAAGCATATTATACCTAATATTTTGTTTATTAAAGTCTGTTAAGTAAATATATACAAAAAGTGTATTGTATTATCAATAATTTCATTAATTTTCTGTAGATCTTACATCGTTTATTTTTCTAGTAAATATCAGTCTATACGCCATTTTTATAATATAATACCCCCAGAAAATATGAAGAATTTCCAGGGTTACAAGTGCAGAGACTATACCAACTTTTATAGGTGACAATCCTAATCCTACAAAATCTATAAAAATAGATCTAACAATATATACTGGGAAGATATATAATCTAGAGTAGAAAAAAACCACCGAAAAAATTGCAAAGAATATGTCTGCAAGATATCTGAACTGTAAATATACATTTACCTTTGCAATTTCCAGGAAAGGATCTGATATATCATGGAGAACTACAATCAATATTCCATATCTGTAATAATTCAAGCAGTATGAGGAAAGAAGTAAAAAAATTGTGATAACATGGTGCATGAACAGTTCAGCAGTATCTTTGCGAGTAGAGTTGATGAATAAATCTCCGAATTCAGACACATAATATGCAATTGATAGAAAGTATTGGTATCTGATTTCATCAGACATTGGAACATTGGTAAGAATATATTCCTCAGGATGCCTGAACCAAGATTGCTCGAAAATTGTCTTCATTCCTCTGTAGGAAGAGTATAAGTAATAAATTATTTTCCAGATTGAAAATTTTAGTTTTTTAGATTTTTTTAGATTGACATTTTTCTGAAGGAATGACAATGCAGTGGGGATAACTCTAGTTCTTAAGATGTATTTTGTTGCTTTTAAAATACAAAATATTTTGAGGGCTAAAAAGATGTGCTCAGGGTCCATTTCAATCAAAGAAATGTAACTTTTAAGGTTTCATGTATTTAAAACCAACAAATCAGGTTTTAAAAATCAAACAAATACATTATTTTTTCTGTAAAGATAGATGTTGTAGATTTCATACATACACTTTCAAAAACTTTGATAAGGAATAGATTGTAATTCTGATGCTGCAAAAATGAATTGTTTAATCTACAGTTGTGGTTGTTGAAACATTAATAACTAATTTGTATCAACTTTTCAAAAATTTTCATAAACCGATATATTACAAATTGTTTACAGTTTTATTAATTCTGAGTGAATCAAATGTAGTCAGCTTCCGATAGGAATATAAAAGCCTAAAAAGGATAAACAGTGACTCTTTATAGATTTTCAGAAAATTTTGATTTGTCATGATATAGGCCCATTAGATTAAGACAGAAGCATCTTCACGAAAATGAGGATATTCTAACGGAGTAGCCCATGCTGTAAATTTTGATTTATAACTACATTCCTTAAAATGGCCTTTAAAATCATTCCTATAAAACCCAACATATTCTGGATTTAGATCACAGTCAATGAGACGGTTGTCACTGTAAAAGCTGTCATCTACAGGCCTATAGATATCCTTTGATTTGGAAGAGATCAGTATCTGGTTCAAATATTCATAATTCTGATTGGCTGGATAGTAGTGAGGATCAGACACAAGAATCTCTTGATAGTATCTCATTCCGGATGAAAAATGGTTGGTTAATAGCAGATAGTTTGCATAGGTCATAAGAAACACCACATTATCGCTGTTACTTTCCAGAAGCTTAGCAAAATATCTGTTCAGAGGTGTGGCAGGTGTCGGCATCTCCATGCCTATTCTGATCATAACATAGGTACAGTAGGGATCACTTTCTATTTTACTACAGAAGTTGAAAATTTCTGGATATTTTCCTTGACAATATAGTAGATAAACATGGAGACGTTGGAACATGCAATAGTTCTTTATCCCCCCACACTTTTTCAGCAATATGGCTGCCTTTTCATAATTACCCTTAAGAATATTGATATGAATTTTTTCTGTCATAAAATAGATATACTGCTGATATCCCTCTGGTGTAGCAAATAGTACATCACAGATATCCTCTGCAATATCGTAGAATCCAAGTTGTTTTTTACAAATTGCAATTCTAGCCAGATGGGATATTTTCAATGTCTTACAAGGATGTGATTCTAGCAACATAATATATTGTTCAAAGGCTGTATCGTAGATTTTCGATGAGAAGTTCCAGTGTGCAATGCATTCCATTGCTATTAAGTTGCCTGGGCGCTTCATTTCAACAAACTTCTTCAAATCATGGTAAGCTTCCAATGGCTTATCTCGAACCATATCTATAAAGGCCTTCAGTACAAAGGATTCTGGAGTACAGCTCTGTATACCATCCATTTCCTTTAGGACCGATTCTAGCCTAACTATGTCCATTTGCCTCAAATACTCCAAGGCTGTTTTATAGAGATCTGAAAATCTCACAACTACAGGGTCAAACGTCTCTAGCAGGGTAGAACCACCAACCTCATTAGTAGATTCTCCTGGTGAATAATCCTTGTTATTCATAGGGATAACAATAAAAAATTTTGCAAAATTTTATTCAAGAAGTCAGGGAAAATCGCGATAACAGGAGCCAAAGTGGATTAGAACAGATTAGATTGTGGTAAAGATGTGTTAAAATCTTTCTCTCCAAAAATCAATATTTTTAGTTAATTGTGATTCAAACAAAAAATAATATAGTTAGTTACAAATAATTTAGAAGATATTTCCAAGTGTTCATATTTCCGGTAGTTTGGCTCAATCTCTTCACGAAACAATTGAATATTGAAAAAGAAACTAACCTAGCTGATTAAATTCGCCAGTGTTTGTATGTCGTCACATGCTGATCCTCAAATTAAAAAAAATAAAAAACAATTAACTCGATTGAGAAACGTGAAAATTTTAAATCAAAAATAGTTAAATGAAAATTAGATACTCCAGGACATTATAGTTTCTGCTCACATTGTATATGGAATTCGATAAATACCCAAATTGAAAATAACTAAATATCCACTGTGGGGGGGCAATATTAGACGACAAGGTTTCAATACTTTGAAATTGTCATTTATTTATGACTGTACAGTGTCTTTGAAACCACATTTCTCGCACGTATAGAATACTGTTTGTCCTTCGTCTGCAGATCTGAGCTGTGCTGTATTATACGATAGCTCTTCTGCACCACATCCAGGACACTGTATTTTTATCTTTGCACCGATCACACTAGTCTCTTTCTTTTCAATAACTTTGGAGAATATCTTTTCAGTCCTAATTGTCTGGAAAATCGCAGATTTTACGTCTATTTTTATTTCTGTTGAGCATCTTCTACAAACTATTGGCTGATCAGCGAAGTTTGGAAAGCAGATCAGTGTTCCACACTCACAAAACATCGGTTAAAAAACACATAGCTTATATAACAATCAGGGATAACAGGCTGTATCTCAAAAATAATAGTTAAAATACTATGTACAAACCCATCTACGGTTATTTAGTAAAATATCGACATACTTTAAAAATTCATATAACTTATTGCCTGATCTTTTTCTTACCCATGAAATTCTTTACAAAGCTGATGATTTCTATTTGTCTCATAATCTTGATTTTCCTAATGGTTTTTGGCTGCAATATCTTCAAAATGGTGTTTTTAGCTGCTGCTTCTCTAGGTCTATATCTCTTTTTAGTATCCTTTTACAGAGCTACAAAGATTCGTACCGAAACAAGCGAAAATGTTGAAAAATATAAAAGACTAATTAAACTGTATGATTCCACAAAAGTGGATGAAAATTAACGAAAATGATTAAAACTATTTCAGAAACAATGTTATGTCTTTGTATTAATTAAACTCCATCACTAGAGTTTTAATAACTACAACTTTGATAGTATTAAAAATTCATATCCAGATGACTCTTTGTACCGCTATACAATGCAGCAACTATGGAATAATATCCAATCAATCAAACTTAGTTGTCTATGATTTTTAATATAACTCAAATACAACTATAAAAACACTCAGTTTTAAAAGCCAATTTATTCACAGCAAATCAAAGATCTTAAATAATCTTCTGGAATACCAGTGCCATATAGCACATAGCTATCACAACAATAACACAGGCCATAGCAACAAGAACCTTCGTGCTTGTTAACCAGCCTGAAGGTTCTTTTTCTCCAACATTCTTTGCTAATGTTTCCTGTGGCATCTTCAATCCAACTTCCTTGTTATTTTTGTTGAAAAGCTTCAAGATCTCCCATTTATTAGTTTCATTCACTTCTCCTCCCAAATCATGAATTCTTTGTTTTGCTTCCTTACAATCACTCAAGTATTGTTCTAAAAATGCATTTAACTTAGTGATTTGTTGCTCTTTACTGTCAGTACTACTGATGGATGGTAATTTAGTCAACTGAGCTGTCAGATTGTTAATTTGTTCTTGATGTTGATATAAGTCATCAACACTCTTCAGTTTTTGATCAACTAATTGTGTTCTATATTTTATGTCCCCATCTAAGCTAGCCAACTTTTGCTCTAACTCTTTTGCTCGCAGAGGTTGATTTGAAATGTCACTGTTGAATTGATCAATTGCATTCATCTTCAATTGTAATTGACTTTGTAATTCATTAATCAGAGCTTTGGTGGATGGTGCATTCTGATCTAATTTTTGACTATCTGCAATTTTCTTTTGAATATCTTGAATATCTCTCTGTAATTTCTCTTTCTTTGGGGGTAAACTGTTCATAATCTCAACATTTTTCTTATATTCCTCCTCTAACTGTGCTTTACTACTTACTGCACTTTTGATTTCTTCCTTGAGTCTTTGAATTTCTTTTTCTAGATCAGATATCTTTGATGTCATAATACCTTTTTCTTGAGTCAATTCGTTTATTTTTTTCTGTAATGGTGCGATTAATATGTTATTTCTCTCCCTTTGGGATATATCATAAGCAATTTTTCTCCTGGTTTTTAAACTTTCTACAGGAGTAATGGATTTAGTAAAAGTGTAAACGTTTGTCAATCTCGACCTTTTCGTCTCATTATCCTTACTTTCAGCCTCTTGAACTATTTCTATTTTTGCAGTACTACCACCGCTGTTATTGACTGGAAGTATATTTAAAAATGGATGGCAACCAGTGTTCATCTTTGTAGGGAAAAACTGGTCTATAGCAGAATGTTGTTCCACGTATTTGTCAAATATTTTCCCTGGAAGACTAACCACGTCTCCATTTTTGAAAATTTTATCGTATGTGGCAATACTAGCCCCCATATTAACATTCTTATAAATTTGATTGAATGTTTTCATCTCTAAGGTTTTAGGGTCGAATACTCTTAAACTATTATTGTAAGTTCCCAATATGTACCAAGTCGAAGTATAGGTTGGAGTAAGATAGCCACCAAGTCCCACTGCCCTTGATTTATCATCAACCATGACCAATGAATTTAAATAGTTGGTAAATAAAGCACATGTTTTAGTCGGATCAACCGGATTCGTAGGTGAGATTCCAACTAGAGTATTAACACTATTTGAAAACCTGAGGTCTAAGATACTTTGAATCAATTCAATATTTTTAAAGCACTTTTGACATATGACAATATTTGGATTTCTTGGTAACTTTGAATTTCTTGGTAACAGAGGTGAATTTTTATCCAGCTCTTTAATGAAGCAGTTTCCTACGGGTTTGTTAACGTAACTCTTCATCAGATCTACCCCTGACTTTTCAAAGAATTGCTCAGAAGTCACAAATACAAGATTTCTAGAAATTGAATCAAATTCACAGCAGTTTTTCGTAGGGTCATCTATTTTAGTATTATCCTCGTCTTTTAATACAAGATTCAGGCAGCCATAGTTATTAAGGCGGCCAAAATATACAATATCAGAATTATCATTGAATGGGAATGCAACTTTAGAGACATCTTGCCCAGAAACTTGTGGATTTTTAAGCCCTCCTTTGTCTTCCTTGAAAATCACATCTCTTACATCATAATCGTTGGCACGTAAATGGTTTAAGAATGGTGCATTATTAAATTTGTCTTTAGTAAGTACATCCCCTTGAGAAGGTTGAGGAATTGAAGATTCGAGTATCTTAATTAAATCCTCCTTAATCTTCTTGAACTTCGTTCTACCAATATCAATATCACCCAATTTAATTGGTTTTATCTCTTTTATTGAAGGAAATTTGTTCCAAAACTTCATGGAACCGTCAGATAAAGACAAGCCCACCAAAGTACCATTATAATAACCCAAAAGGCATATATGGGTGGATGAAAATACCACATTTTTTGTTTCCTCTATCTCTATCATTAAAAATTGTTTCTCTTTATTCGATATCAAGCTAATTATTGATTCATCTTCCTGAGCCTTCATAGAATTTATTCTCGGACATTTAAGAATTATATCATCGATATATTCCAATAGAACAACATGATCCATGTTGTTATGATACTTAGCTGTCAAGATATCTTTGTAGCTACCAATTTTACCATAACAGGTTGGACAAATATCAAGAATATGAGAGATTACTGATCCACTAGATGAAGTATTCTGTTGATAAATCCCCATCCCTGTTGGTTTGGTGGGGTCATATGGCCCAGTAGGGTTCTTTGGACCAGGTCCAGCATATGTAGGGTCTGCCTCACCCTCAACATTTTGAGAAGCTGTATAGAGGTCTGGGAATTCCACAGTAACATTGAATACCATGTTATTATAGAATTCACACTCATCATGATGTTTTTTGGTGAGTCTTAATATAGATGTTTTATATGTAGAATTTGGCTCTGTTAATATTCCATTCACTAACAGTATTGCCATACTCAATACCATATAGCTTAGAGTGTTCAAAGACATCCTTAACATTGTGGGCAGTAAAAACATTTTTCAATTAAATCAAAATAATATAACTTTTATGTATATGAAGGGATTGATTAAAAAATTCTATATTCAGCCAATAAAAAAGGATCTATTCAGAGATAGTGATAAGGCTCAAAAATTAAAAAGAAGTATTTTAACACATTCATTCAGTGCCAGCAACATATTTCTAAAAAATCCGTTCATTAACTTCACTCATCCCTTAAAATTTCAAGGAGTGGATTAGGGGGCTGGATACACAGAATGCATATTTCTATTTTTCCACTTTTATTATTAATAAACAGAACTATGATAGACTATAACAGTTATAGCCATTCTGTAGAATATTTATATTATTAAATGGAAATATATTTTTATAACTATTTTCAATAAAATCAATCTATACGTTTCCAATTTATTTACATATGTTAACCATCAACTTCAACCCTTTTCATTTCTTCTACACTGTCATTTGGATTTTTAAGTTTATCTTGAACAATATCCTCCTCATCTGATTCTTCGTTTCTGAGATCGATATCAATATTCTCATGAACCTTTAAGCTTTTATCGTATGCATTTCCCAGATATCCAATGGATCCAAACCAAACTATTACACCAACTGTTGAAACAAAAGATGTCAGAGGAGACATTCCCCTTACATTTAGATCTCTAAATAAGGAGCCTAAAACAATTCCATACAGGGATCCAGCTGATTTTCCACACTTATTAAACATTCCGTCATAAATACTCTTGAACTTGGGTCGATATCGATTTTCTATCCTCATACTGATTCTTTCCTTTGTCACATCAAATGCACTGTATTTGAATATTTTCATAGCCGACAAGCATATCATTCCGAGATAGTTTTCTAATAAAAATTTGGGAGTAGAGCTACTGAAGAACGAATTAAGTATCGATATGGATTCTTTCTCCGCTGCTGAATTATGGATCCCCAGGCCCAATATAACCACAATGGAAATTAGAGTTACAACAGGAGTTATTAGAGCTACAAATGTCCAACTTTTGAGATCGATCAGATGTGAGAATGATGTTAAGTTTAGTAATATAACTGCAATTCCAGTAATATATTGGTCGATGTTGGTTAGATGGACTGAGTGGGTGTCTTTTTCTAAATTTAAGGCCTCAGCCGAGTTCTTAACCCCGTTTTTGAAGACTGATTCTAATAAATTGTACAGGATGTTGTACATAAAGACAATACTACACATGGAGAACAGGAATCTGGATTGCTTCATGATCTTTAGGCTTTCTACAAATCCGACACTATCTTTCTTCTTTTTATCATGCTGAACATGAGAAGGAATAAAGATGGGCTTACTCATAATGTTGACTTCTAGATGGAACTTGAGCAGCATAAGGATCAGAACTAAGATGCCTATGATGAAGAAGATAGAACTCATCATTATAACTGTCTGAGCTGGAGAAAGAATCTCCTTTAGCTTCAAAAATCCAGTAGTTACGAGGGCTGATAGGATTAGGCTGACATTAGTAATTATGAATAGTGGGGGAATGAATCGATCGTGCTGTCGTTTGGAGCAAGATTCATTTAAGAAGGAAAGAAACAAGTAGGAGAGAATAAGGGAACCCCATAATTCTGCGGTTATGTATACAAGTGTGGCTAGTGGTTCCAGCAGAGTAAGGCTCAAATACTTTACAAATGGACTCCAGTCAGACTTCTCAAGAGATTCCTTGTAAGCTTCTCTATCGAATCCCATATTGTCTTCAATCAGAACCCAAAAGCCAAAAGTAAAGAACAGTACCATAAACATAGCTGAGAATGAGGTGAATATCTTGGAAATTGACCTCGTTCCAAGCATATAGTTGATTCCCAAAATTACTAAAATCGAAAGTGGTAGGATAAAGAATATTTTGATGTAGAGAATGCAGTTTGGATCCTGGCGGCCCATGACATATGCGTCCTTAAGAATTCTCATAAATGAATATATGAACCCGATTATAAAGAACATGGTCCCAAATAAGGCAAATCTTTTTTGTTCACATTTGGCAATTCGGAAATTTTTCATTATTCCAGTGTGACCTTGTGCCTCACTTTCAACATCATCTTCATGCGGCAAACCTAATATATTTGTTTCCATTTGGGGTGTAGTCAAACAAAACAGTTAATATTACATTTGTAATAACAAATAAACTTGAGTCATATTGAAATTAGAAATATTATTAATAAATTTTAAAGCTGTTTTCAAATAAGTAGTGTTAAAGTGTTTTGGTAGATTGCCATCAGAAGCCATCTTAGTATTACAGATATATCATTATATGATTTCATATTATCTCCTTACGTAATAATGTTCTGATCCCATCGAGCAGGGATAGTACGATGGTTTTCAAAAAATTCCTTTGTCTTGGAACCTCTAGCCGGAAAATACATTTTGTATTGATTGGTAAGGTTTAATTGCTTATAAATATTCTTGATTTTCAATCTGAAATAGGGACATAGCAGCATAAGATGTTGGACTAAAGATTCCGATGCATAATACCAGATCTTTCTATTCAGTTCTGTTCCATAAATGTGCAAGAGATGCACCATCATATAACTACCTCCTTGATGGGCTTATGGCACATTTAAAACAATCTTATCCCTAAATTTTCTATGGAACAATCTCCAACTTTACAGAAACTTTTCCAACCTGAGATAGAAGAATTCTATAGTTTTCAATCAAACTCACTTACTCCAAAATTGTTCTATATTCACTCGCAAACTAAAAATACTATTGAATTGGATAGTCTATTCATCTTTAAAAACATTTCGCATTTTCATGAAGAAGACCTGTATCTCATAGTTGAAGGAATTAAACTGAATTTAGAAAGGAGAAATGAAACTGTCTTCTATGCCATTCATCATATTTTACATCAACTGTTAGAAGAATCGGTTCTCCAAAACTTTCTGATTTATTTGATTAGATGTGAATTTTTTCAAGTTAAGGAATATCTTTGGACGTTTGATATTGCAAGAAAAATATTTGAACGTAAAAATAGAAACAACTCCGTTTCTAATCCAAACGAGAAGGATAAGAGATTATTTAGACGATTTGATATATTTTTTGTTGAATTTATCTGTTCAATATATGAATTTGATGACAAATTTACACTGAGATACCTCCTCCATAATCTATCGACAGAAGTCAACATCCAGGAAGGATGCCTAAGCTTTTTCGAGTATTGGATGGCTGATGCTGGTGAAGGCCTTTATGATCACATCCACTTAATATAATATCTGCACTGTCAATAAATCGTATCATTAATAATGAAATTAAAATCACAATGGTGTATCTTCCTAAACATAATAATATTAATATAATCTTGAGAATCTCAAAATTTATTTTCTCATTCTACAAGATCTATTTTACAACAGAGATGGATGACATTCTTATAGAGCCTAGAAATCCATCCATCGAGCTGTAAAAAACCGTATCATACCACATAAACATGTCTGTTAGTTCCAAAAATGCTGCGTTGTCTATTCCAACCACTAATTTGTCATCCTTTAGAATGTAAACACTTCTTTTTGTAGCAATTGTCAAAAAACCATCCTGGTCTATTATTTTTATCACTGGCGAGTTCAAAGGGCCTATTTTCTTGTACAGATTTTCATTTCTGAAGGGATAGCAATATACCCTCACTGTGTTTGCTTTGGAAATTATATACAATCTATTTTCATCAAAGCAAAGCCTCCTATAAACTCCCAAACTTGTATCAATTTTTTGATCAAATTCAGAAATTAAGACAAATTCATTGTTTTGAATAAGACTGACCTTAACAGTCTTGTCCAACGAATGTGTAGCAAAACATGAATGCTTTGTGTTGTATGAAATTCCCTGAATTGCATCTCGATGAATTTGCTGCTTTTGGATCATCTTTGATTTAACTGGCCCACTGTGGGGATACACTAGTTCATACATTTCTACATGACCAGATCCAAATCCAATTAGTACTTTGGTTTTATTCACCCAACACAAGTCATATGCATTATCTCCATCCATTTCTCGTATGACATTTTTGAAACCTCTAAAATATACAATAATCTTTCCGCCATCAGAGCATGCAGCTAGAATAATATCATCTAAAAAAGAACAGTCAATGTCAGAAGATTCAGAATCTTCTAGTTTTGTTGCTTTTTGTTTAATTAAAAACAATTTCTTGTCTGATTCAGAATCCATTTGTAGTTTGGTTGAATCTGCCATGGCATTCGTGTTTAATTCACTTTTGAAAAATCTTACACAATTAATAATTCTATTGAATCCATCAAATTCCTTTAAAAAACTAATTTTGATTGACGAATTGGAGGCAGTTTTGTATGCATTCTTTTCCAAAGCCAATATGTTGGTTCCAATTTGCCATAATCTCACATAGTTGTCATATCCTGATGTCACCAGAATATTTCTGTAATTATCCGCTGAAACGATCGGAGAGTTTTCATGAAAATAAATATTGTGTGTCGTAACTTCAATTGGCTCATAAATATTCATGGGGTGAGTTTTGAAAGAACAAATGATTGAAAATTTTCACACAAATAGTGGTGATTGACTATGTAAGCAGGAAATAGCTCCCATACTCATTGATCTGAATCAATTCTTCTAGTTCCTACCACCAGTTTACATGATGAAAAGAAAATCAAGTTGATTAAAAATAGTTGAAACTATGGGAAACGGAACATTAGTAGAAAATCAGTAGAGTTGTCCCATTAGGCTGGTTTGAAACTTTACTTGTGTATTTGGGTAAAACAATTTATTCCAAAAATATCTATCCTTCCTTTCATGGGCATTCCAGAGAAAATTGCAGAGATCGAATTTGAAATGAGCAGAACTCAGAAAAACAAGGCTACAGAGCATCACCTGGGTGGACTAAAGGCTAAGCTGGCTAAGTTGAGATCTGAAATGAATGCTCCAAAAATCATTGTGAAGCAAGATGGTTGGGAAGTACAAAAAAGTGGTGATGCAAGAGTATGTCTTATTGGATTTCCTTCTGTAGGGAAATCTACTCTTTTATCGACAATCACTCCTACATTTAGCAAGCAAGCAGAACACGAATTTACCACCTTGGATTGTATTTCTGGAAAACTGGACTATAAGGGAGCCTCGATTCAAATATTGGATTTACCTGGGATTATAGATGGAGCATCTTCTAACAAAGGGAGAGGCAGGCAGATAATTTCAATAGCCAAGACCTCTGATCTGATCATAATGATGCTTGATCACAGACGATCAATAGAATATTTAAAACTCGATACTGATCTGGATAAGATACCCAGCTGTCTAGAATTTTCTAAAGATAGACAGATTCTGGAGGGTGAGTTATATGGAATGGGTATTAGACTAAATCGAAAAAAACCAAACATCACTCTCAGTTTTACAGGAGCCGGAATAAGTATTATTCCTACATTAAAGTTAACTAACATTTCTGAGAGCACAATCTATGGAATATTAAAGGCCTATAAAATATACAATTGCCAATTGACAATAAGGGAGGATATTACAGATGAGGATTTGATAGATGTACTAAGTGGTCAGGCTGCCTATATAAACTGCATATATTGTTACAACAAAATTGATGAATTGAGCAAGGAAGAATTTTACAGGCTTGTTAGACATGATGATTCCATCCCCAATGTGAATAGCTTAGATGGAAATACTCCCATAGAAACTAACACATATTCTAATAACATTTCGGTAATTAGCTGCTCAAAAGGCTGGAATGTTGAAGAGTTCAAGGAAGATATATGGAACAAACTAGAGCTGACTAGAGTTTATACAAAGAAGAAGGGTGCAGAACCTAATTTTCAGGATCCTGCTATTTTACGAGGAGAACCTACAGTAAAAGACCTATGTCGAACAATTCATAAAGACTTTTATCAAAACTTTAAGCATGCTTTTGTGTGGGGTAGAAGTGCAAAACATTCCCCTCAAAAAGTTGGATTAAATCATCAGTTGAAAGATGAAGATGTAGTTCAATTGGTAACAAAATAATCATAAATTAAAATATTTTATTTAACAGGTATAGGCACTAGAATAATCTATGAAAACTAGACCAATTTTGTATAGAATAGGAGTAGAGTGGTATTTCTTTTGATTGATTATGTATTTTTCAAGAAAATTTCTAATAATATAATTAATAAATTGACTATGCTAAAAGTTTTATGGATTGTGATTGAATATTAATCTTTTGAAATAAAATTTACAGATTATTTATCTCTCTTTGGGTTAATTAATAATATCCAATGGCGTTATGACTGATATTGTATATTGTAACAATAAATAACATCACATTACCAATTTAAATAACATGTATGGGTTAAATAATAAGCATGGCATATTGTAACAAAAATATATCTATATAATCCCTACCACTCTCTAATAACCTGACCATCTATTTTTCCTTGTAAATCAAATGTATAAACTTTACTTCTTTATCAGAATTTCTAACAAAGATCTTTCTTCCATTTCTAAATCCAAATAGCATACACTTGGCTACTGCATCCAACTCATACTCGATCTCACCCTGTTCATTTACAAAGTTAATAAATTGATCACAATCATTTTTAAAGATAAACATATCAAGAATATTCTTTGGATTTCCACGGATAATACCTTCAACTGTCGTATCACTGTGCAGATTCTTTTCATAATCATACGCCTTGGTGTTTATCCTATCATTGGTCAATATGTATCCATTTTTTTCAATCATCAGGTATTCTAAGTGAATTAACCTGTAGTTATCTATTTTGGGGGCAAAATATTCTTCGATATTTATTCTTACTGCTCTTCTATCCACAAATGGCCCTGAGGTTTCATAAGAAAGCTCTTCAAAGTCAAAATCTCCTAACTCCATAATAGAATAGCCAGTTTCTGAAATTTCCACTGGAATATCGATATATTGGATCTCATCCGGGAGAGAAAGATTAAAACAGTTATATTGTGGCGAATAATTCTCCCATGACAATTTCTCATTATTATTTATCCATCCAGTTATAGCTTGGCGTCCAGAATTAAGGTTTAAATTGGAACTAGATGTGAGCCCATCTTCTAATTCAATACCCTCTACTCTTTCCACTTCGTGATAACTGTACCTTCCCACTTTAAAGACCACCAATCGGTTCTTTTTTATCTCCACTTTCTCAAAAACCGTCATACAGTCATTTTCGTATAACACCAATTTACCAGTATCCAAATCTGATAAATAGAATGTAAAAGCATACTCTCTATTCTCAATACAGTCATCATGAACCAGTAAAAAATCATTAGGTCTATAAAAGGAAGCAAAAATAGTGTAGAACAGAGGCGATGGGCTGGTAAGTGATATAGTTGAGTTACACTCAGAATTTACCATACTTGGAGCTTTTTTATCATACGGAAATATTTTTGGATTAAAAATTTTATCTAATTTATCAGTGAAAAACCTCAGATTAATCTTATTCGAAACAGAACTGGAAATACTATTATCGGTATCTTTTATAAAGGTATCATATGAGGTTATAGATGCATTGACTAATTCTCTTGTTTGTAAAAAATTGAACAAATCACTTTTCAATTCTAGAAATGGGCTGTTCCTATAAATCTGCATAATTTCCTCAAAATCCTTCTCATCTAAAAAATTGTCAAAAATTTCATACTCAAATGGCTTAGGTTTAGAATTACAATGCATTGCAAATGTGGGTTATAAAAATTTTCAAAAGTGAAATTTCACAAAACTAGAAATTGTAATTATAAAAACAACTATACATCCTTTAGTTTTTATTAATGTATTTATAATGGGTTTTTGTCTTAAAAATATCTTTAATACATTCTTAGATTTAATCCAATATTCATTTTTTAGTTTGATCACATCCGATTGTAAGTGTGGAATCTTGATTATTTCTTTTGCTCTTTAATTCCATCTGTATATATGTGCAGAGTTTTAAGTCTTTGAACCTCATTTTTCTTCTTTTAGGAACCCCCATAAATGTTTCTGAATCCAGACAAACCCTTCTCAGTTTTCAGTAATAAGGGTAAGCTACAGCAATGTGACAATGCTCTTAGGGCAGCACTAAGCTCATCGATCTGTATTGGAGCTTCTTCTAAGGATGGTTGTGTTCTGATGAGCTACAAGAATTTGGGTAAGTTATTCGTGAAAGAGAAGTACCACAAAATATTTTATGTTTGTCCAAGCATCGGATTGACATATTCTGGGCTTCAACCCGATTTCCGAGTCCAACTTTCTATAGCACAGAAAATTTGCCAAGAATACTTTGATGTCTTTGAAAGATTCCCATATTTGGACACCTTTATTAATGAGTTTAGTTTGGCAACTCAAGAGTTTACCCAGAAGAGTCGATTTAGGCCATTTGGGACATTTTTGATTTTTGCAGGGACTACAGTAAATGGGCCGTGCTTATATCAAGTGGATCCATCAGGCAGTTTCAAAACAGTTGAAGTTATCGCAGGAGGCGTAGAATATGATAAGGCCAGGAAGTTTGTGGAGAGACGACTGAGTGGATTGGATGACAATATCGCAACCTGTTTTCATGCTCTTAGAGAATATTCAGGAGCAACAATTAATCCCGAGGACATCAGTGTTGGAGTTTTTTTGTCTAAAACCGGAGAATTTAAAGTGTATGATATGGAGGGTATCAAGGAGATATTTGAATCAATTGAAGAATAAATTTCAGAAATTACTTGAGATTGTTATATGTGTTCCAATAAACCTTTTTCAATTTTAAGAAGCTTCATTGGTTGAGCCATGTGATTTT